AACAAGTAATTATCATACATAAGACTTGGTCTATCACCAATAAATCTTGTTTTGTATGATCATCCATATTATTTTATTTAACTATGGTGCTTTGGATCTGGTCCACCTGGTACAATTCTTTCCGACGTAATGAGAGACCTCCGCTCGATCTTAAAGACATCAAATTTAAATTCTTGCAAAAGACGTTGACTGCTTATGTCCTTTTGTTTTTCAAAACGAAGAACATGTCCTTGTGATATCATCAAAAGAGTGGAAAAAATAAAGAGAAGAATCAACACACGAGAAGAGGTTGAAACAGCCATTTGAAAGGATCGAAAGGATGCCTTACTTGAGATGGTAAGTAGCTAATTTGCATGCATGCATGTGTATATATAAATATATATACCCAAAGGAAGAGAAGAGACAAAAAGTTAGGAAATTATTTAAATTTTGGTAAGGCAATTGGTTAATTATTAATTAAGGTTAGTGGGAAAGAATATGTGGAACAACAAAATGTTTCAAAGACCGATTTGGCTTTTAGTGTTTGTCTTTCCATTGATTGATGTTTTTTTTCTTTAAGATTGATGTGTTTTTTTGTTTCTCCTAATTTCTTATTCATTGAATTTCATTTTAGTAATTATTTTTTATTTTTATTTTTTTTATTGAAATAAGAAATAAAAAGAATTATTTATTATTTTTCTAAATTTTTATATGAGAATTAATTTTTTAACTAAATATTTAAATTTTGTTTGTTATATTTATTTTTTTATTATTTATTAAGCTCATATAAAATAATATTTTAATTTATGTTTAAAAATAACTAGAAATGAAAATTAAAAATTAAAAACTTGATTTTGTTGTTTTAAAATTTTTTTCATAAATTTGAAATGTGTCTATAAAATAGAAACAGAAAACAAAAACTCTTATGCTCAAAAGTGGAAATGAAAAATAATTAAACATGAATGTCACCAAATGAGTCTTAATTAAATTCAAAATCAAATCGATAAATTTGCAATATAGTTTAACGAACCCAACATAATAAACTCTTTAATAATTTTTTTCCTTGATCTAGTAACACTCTTTTATAAATGGAAGCTTTGAATTCACACCATTTTATTTTTGATATACAAACAGATATTCCAAATTTTAGTATTCAATATTTATTTTTCTAAAATTAATGTTTGTGTATTAATTTAAGCTTTATTTTAATCACCTTAAATTTTTATAAATTATTCTATTTTAGTTTCAGAATTTCGTATAAAAAATTATTTTAGTAAATTTGTTTTTATTAACCACTTCATCCATTTCGAATTCCAACGTCTAACTTACCTTATTGTTAAGTGCCTTCAAATATTTGTAAATGTAGATATCTATTTTCATTAATGAGATTAAATAATAGAAAGTGGTTGTAAACTCTCTCTCAAAGTTGGGACGAAAGAATAAGGATTAAGACAATTTTTTATATAAAGTTAAAAATTAAAACAAAATATTTGAAAGTTAATACTAAAATTAAAAAGTATATATATGAATTATAATAGAATTTATACAGCAATATATTTCTCTTTCAATTTGTCATCTGTTTTCCACAGCTAATCATTCTAATACGTCTCTAGCATGAGATTTATTATGTTACAATGGTCTCTAACAATTTTTTTAATATATAATTTTCAAACTCTATTAATAGTTTCTTTTTTAAAGAAAAAGTCAGTTAGATGCCAAAACAATTTTATTGTAAGTTGTAATAGTCATGATTAGAAATTGAATAATTTTTCCTTTTTAGTAGTATAGGGGTGGGAGATCGAACTCACAACCTTTTAGTTGAAAATTATGTCAATTACCGCTGAGCTATGCTTGCTTTGGCGTTAGAAATTAAATAATTTGATATATCAAATAAATGCGTTTTCATACATTCACCAAACTTCGTCAAATTAATATTCATAATTTTTCCTCTGTATCAAGTTTTTGGTAAATATTTTTAAGAGCTATAGTATCAAAAACTAACATTATATTTTAAACATATATATAAATTATCTCACTTGAGATATTAAGAAAAAGTAGAAAACACAAATACAATTTAGACAAAAAAATAATAATAATAATAATAATAATAATAATAATAGAATAGGTAATTACGAGTATTAAATTATATAATGTGATCAAAAGACCATAAACTTAAATAATATAAGTAATACCAATATTGACCTAATTCTCACTTTCGCAGTCGGAATGTTTTAAATTAAACCCTAAAAAATTGCATAGTTGGAAAGGTTGGTTTAAAGTTTTTTTTTCTTTCTTTTTTCATTCAATTTTGTTTGTATTGATTAAATAACACAAAATTTTGTTCAATAAAACAAATCATATCTCCACTAATTTAAAAAATTAGTTGATTAATTTGTGTAAGTAGGAAAATACAATGGGCAGTTGTCAAAGTATCAGCCGCAAAAGCTCAAAAGCCAACGCAAGTGGACAATTTAACTTTTTTTAAAGAATTAAATTAAGTTAATTAATTGTGTTTTGATGGTTTTTTTATTTCCTTTTAATATCATATCTTAAAAGTCAAAGATATCATAAAGGCAAAATGCATGGCCTCAAAAAAGAAAGAAAAAAAAAAGGCAAATGTATAAAATAATTTTGTTATTATTATTATTATTTTTTTAAATAGAAGAATGGTGAGGTGAGGTGGGGCATTATGTAATGCATTGACGGCTGCTAAGACATTAATAATATTATTGTTATTATTCCTTTTTATTTTTGGAAAACAATAATTATATAATTATGATTCAAAAACAAAGCTCAAATGATATAATGGAATGGGCGTGGCTGCACGTTTGTTTGTGATAATTGATCCCTTTCTTTTTTCTTTTGTTTCTTCTTCCATAGGTGAAATATACGTTTTAGTTTACAATATTTTAGTATTTTTTTAATTTGGTTCTTCTTCTTATTTTTTTTAATTAAGTCCTTTATAATGTAATATTTCTAAATATATCATTCTTGTTGGTAAATGTTAAAATGAGAGGATAATAAACTTACATGACATGATCTTTAGTGAGTTAACAATTTAAAGAACGAATTAGACTAACGAAGAACGAATTAGACTAGCTAAATGTTAAATAATGTAATATTTAACATGTTTCTCTCTTTAAGTGACTTAATTTCTCTTCATAGTTTTTGATAACTCACTAAATATCATGTCATAAGCTTATTATCTATCAATTTTAATATTCATTATTCATTGATGGTAAGAATATAATTGAAAATTGTCAAGATAATAGACCAAAGTATAAAACTTTTTAAACAATAAAAACTAAATTAAAGAAGACCATATCAATTTAATTTTCGTCTTTAAAATTCTATGTTTCAAATTATACTAGTTTCAATCAAACCTCCTCACTGTAACGTAAATGAAAAGTTGAAGTGGATATGACAAAATCGAGCCTTTTCTTTTCTTTTAATTTTGCAGATAGAATAAGTAAGATTTTCAATGTCGATGTCGATGAAAATATTGATGTCTTACTCTTATAAAAACGTTGATGAAAATATAGATAAAATGTCAATGTTGATAAATATTTCTGAACAATTTATAAAAACAAAAAAATTATAATAAATATTTAAATTAACAAATAAATATTTTACCCATTTCTATCAAAATTAAAATTTACTAATATTAATATTATATTTGTCCTACAAGATCCCAATCCCATAAAGGTTATCCAGAATCCGCTCCACACTCTCCAGTATCAGAGAAGAATGAGACAAGGATGAAAATCAAAATCCCCTATAAATTTTGTTTAATCCAAATTATCTTAACTAATTTTTAAAAACCTTTTTTTTTAAATGAGCTAAAATTGCATTAATAAAAGTAAAAAACAAGACAAAAATAGTATGAATCTTGGACTTGATTAATAATTATGGTAAATCAGCTTACCAGCTCCAACTGATCAAAGTTTATAAAGCAGACTCCAAAACTCCACACTGAACTTATAACACACAAATTAGTGGACTGTGTAAGCTTTTGTTTGAAACTTATATTTCACCAAGTCGTACTGATGTATATCCAAGTTGGAAAAAATGGGCAAAGGACCTAATTGTAAGGGCAGGGACCCCCAAGAAGGGCTGGGAATGGCATGGCACTGTAGGTTGCATTGCTGGAGGTTTAGATTTTGTGGTGTAAGGCTTACCTAATGCAGCCATGTCATCCACCCTAAGGTCTGCGATTTCCAATCTGTGCAGAGTACAGGATGGGAGGCCTAATGGTGGATGTCTACTCGATTTATGAAGAACGAAACACTGTTGGGGACGTGTCGATACTCGTTAGTACCTTGACATCAAGTGAAGGTTTTGGCAGGCATCCACTGGTTTACTTTCTTAGTTGGGTGGCCAGCAGTGTCTCTCATCATCAAGAAAGAAACATGGTGATTCATGTTTCCCTTAATCTCTGAAGTCATGCTCTGTCTTTGGGTTTCAGCAATATGGGATTCTTTGACACGGTCATGTTTGCATCACCTGGTCTGTAAGGTCTTTTGTCTTTTGCAGCCTTCCAGGAAGCTACGCCATAGAAAAGCATCAGGAGGAAAAGGCAAGGTGACAATCAACTTCTCTGTTTCCGCAGCATTAGGAAGCAAGTCAACCAGGCACTGATAATGATTCATGTCTAGTTCGACCCTGTATTCCACTTTCATCTTGTTGAACAACTTCATTCCTTCTTTAACAAGCCCGCTGTGCTTGCAAGCTGTAAGCACTGCACCAAGAGCTACCACGTTAGGTCTAAACCCTGATAACTCCATTTCTGCAAACTTTTCCGACACTTCATAAGCGTAGCCGTGTACCTCGAGGATGGAGATCAGAATTGTCCATGTGATTAAGTTTCTATCTTTCACTTTGTCAAATATCCAATGCTTCCACATTTTCCATACATGTCAATTAGCAGCAGATTGCAAATAAATGTATCACAACAACTGGGACTGGTCTTTATGATAACGCCATGAATCGAACTGCCAAGAGCAAGGTTGCAAAATTTAGCACAAACACTCAAAAGAGAGATGAATGTATAATTGTCTGGATAGATTTGGAGAATGAACATCCATTTGAAAAAAACCAGAGCTTTGAGGTAATTGCTAGTTCTAGCACAAGCTTCAATCAAAATATTCCAAGATACAATGTCTGATTCCTCAAGTAGATAAAAGAAACTTTCAGTGCCACGTTATATTGGCCAACTCTATTGTGATATCCAGCCATTATGTTAGAAAGCAGAACAGAAGGCTGTTTATTAGAATCAGAGACATGAGTCAGGAAATTAGATATGAAACCATGTTTGGCATAGGAA